TTATTTGTTTATAACAATCATGTTTGAAAAAATGCTAATGAGATAATTATTATTTTAGCGTGATAATGTTTCTCAGGCATAAAAGGTTATGTTCTTATGAATAATCTACTTTTAATTAATTTATTTATATTTTATTTTAATTTTCTGAGTTTATTCTTATGGAACATGTATTTATTCGTGTGTTGAATTGAATTTATATTGCATAAAAGATCTCATAAAGCTTGTAATATTCATTTACGATCAATTTTAGTAATTCTGGGGAATTTTAACAAGCAATTGTCCAAAAGTTTATAGTGTGATTCATGTAAATGGGGCTTAAGCTTGAAAGGGTACCTTAAGGCAGCCATGTTCTCTAGGCTTATGTCTACTGCTTTAAGAACGCGTATTCACGTCAGCTGAGTGTTTGTTGTGACAGCTATTTTAAAGAATAATTGTTATATTATAATGTTGTTTTCAGATGCTGGGGACTTCTAGCAATGAAGATGGAAAATCGAAAAATTTATGCGGGTGGAATATAGCGGTGATTATACCGTCAGACGTGACATCTCCCTCCTTAGGAAAGTTCGGTCCCCGAACTTTTATTAGTAAGTAAAATTTTATGGTTATGTCGTATAGAGTATGATTATATTTATAGATAATTAACTATTTACGTGATTTTTATTATAGGATTCTAAAGTGTGCCTGGCAGTGTAAGAGCTGTGTTGCTGCAGTTGGATTTATCTAAATCGAGGTAATAGTTCCATTGTTTAGCAATGTGCTTAAGTAGTTCTATAGATTTGATTAGTAATATTTTTTTTTTTCTTCTTCTCTTCTCTCTCTTTTTTTTTTATTTGTTTTATTGGGTATATACACATGTATATTTGTACTTGCGTACATATATAGACGCGCATATTTGTTTTCAGTGTTCATTCCTTATGTTACTTATTAGGATATTTATTAATATAGGTTATTCTTATTTTATTATAGAGCTGGTTATCTATACTGTCACCGTGATTTCGTTGGACGGATATGATAAGGATAAATTAAAAGTAAGTTAATGCTATATTTCTATCGTTACTACATTTATTCATATAAGTTTTAGTCTCTCCCCTTTTTTATTTTTTATTATTTTTGTTTAAGTATATTCAAGTATTTGCCGCGTATTCTTTCCTTAGCTTCGTCTAAATCCAGGCGATAAGCAAGATTATGTAGTCTTTTTACTTCTAGCATAAGGCTTGTCGTTGACATTTTGCTTAGCTCTGTAAGGATAATTATTTATTGATTATATATAACGGTTTTATCGTATAAGAGTGCAGTAATTAATATATTTCGTTATTGTTATAGGTGAGAAGAGGTAATAGTGAGCTGAGACTGAATTAATAAGGATAAAGGATAAGTATTTCAATCTTATTTTATAATCTTATGAATATATATATATATGAATAAGAATATTAATGTATTTTCTTTCATTTTATTTCAGGTAAGGAATAGGTACGAAATTATCCTGGATGGGCTTGTTTTACGAGTGTGAATATGAATACGTTATAATAGTAATCTTACAATTAGTAAAGCATGTAAGTTATTTGCATTTTAAGGTTGACTAAATATATGTGTTTTTCTATTTTCTACTATATGCGTGTGTCAGCGTACTTTTTCCCCTTTTCTATGCATGTATATTAAAATTAAAATTATTAACATAGAATTAAGATTATATTCTACTGATTGCTACGATTTAATTTTCAAAGTACTTATTCTAAGGAAATTAAGGTCCTCCACCGTGCTCATTAAGCATAATCATAGGTTAATTGTATAAAATTAATATTTTATTTCGATCCCTTCACCATGTACAGAATAAAAATGTTAGTATTAGGTTAATGTTGGTCTTATAGTAAGGTCGCTCGCTAATGTTTACTTTATAATACGGAGTAGTCCTAACACTAATATAAAGGTGCTAAATAATAAGACAGTTCCCTGTAAGTAGTACACTGTAAGAAAAATTAAGTGGTAATTTATAAAGTAAAATATAAGTATATAACGCAAAATATTCGATAAGTATGTTTAAAAGTAGAATGTGTAGGTTATTTGTATATATAAGATATAATAGTATTATTTCTTTTAGCAAATGTTTTATGTCGTATACTGCTTAACGTGTTCCTCGGGGAATAACCGCTTCACATAAAACTTGGTAGGTCAAGTGTTCGGTACGTCCGCGTAAATCTATTATAGTAGTACGGCATTCGTGACAATCAATCGCGCGTTTAGTTTTTATTAATAACTTATAACATCGCCCACAGTGTAGAGTTGTATGGACGAATGTTCGCGAAATAAGGTGTAGCTGTCGCCATACGGCGTTCGGTCTGTTATAAATACAAAATGTGTGCTCGCTTGTCGTACAATCCGCACACAACGCGAGTTCGGCCGCGACTTGCGCATACCACGCGGAATGACATATAAAGTCATAAGCCGGTCGTACCAGTGGATCTGAATAATCGCGGTAATAAATTGGTATTGATAGTGGCGGTTGTGTAGGAGGGGGTGGCGAGCCCTGCGGTATGGGAAGCATAGGGCGCTCACCTATTATATGATGTCGGTTTGCAGGTTCACCCAGGTGATCGTATGATCCACATTGTCCTCCCAATGCAAGTGGGCTGCTTAGCGATGTACTCAGGCCGCTCAAAGAATGCGACCCACGGCTGCTGCATGCTTCCGCTCGTGTTGAAGATGCCATTGCCACGTACTCGTGGCTCGTCTGCGTTGCCGGGATGTTGGCGTAACGAGGCGGAGGTCTGGTGACATCAGGCAGTCTGATGGTGCCTGTCACTTCGCTGCCCAGGCTGTCATCGACGGGAGACTCTCTGTTGATCTCGTCGAGCACCTCGTCGATTAAATTCTCCATTCCAGGAGTGAGAGCTGCTTCTACGGATGCCACTGACATTCGCGGCACCTCGTAGATGGTGTTTGCCGGTGTCGGCGGACGCTGAGGTCTGGTGAAGACCTCGGGATCTGTTGGTCCGGGCCAGTCACGGTCCATATTGGGATGGACGTCGACGCCAGGAGATCTGGTGTCGCGCTCCGGTGGTCCTCGCTGCATTGGAATTGGCGACCGCCGATACGACTGCGCTGCGCTGAGGTTCATAGGAACGTTTTCGTCAATTCCCGGCATGGTTAGAATAATCCGGCGGAGTCGTCCCAATATTCTGTGCCAACGTTTATAGTGATTGGTAGAATAGCTGCTCCTTCTCATCCTGTGAAGTGAGCACAAACCAAAGACTAAATTTTTGTACGAAGTCATGTGGTTTGGTCACTTACGAATTATTGCTGTACGTTGTCACGTCTGACGGTATAATCACCGCTATATTCCACCCGCCTAAATTTTTCGATTTTCCATCTTCATTGCTAGAAGTCCCCAGCATCTGAAAACAACATTATAATATAACAATCAATCTTTAAATTAACTGTCACAACAAACACTCAGCTGATGCGAACACGCGTTCTTAAAGCAGTAGACATAAGCCTAGAGAACATGGCTGCCTTAAGGTACCCTTTCAAGCTTAAGCCCCATTTGCATGAATCACACTATAAACTTTTGGACAATTGCTTGTTAAAATTCCCCAGAGTCACTAAAATTGATCGTAAATGAATATTACAAACCTTATGAGATCTTTTATGCAATATAAATTCAATATTAACATATGAATAAATGCATAATCCATAAGAATAAACTCAGAAAATTAAAATAAAATATAAATAAATTAATTAAAAGTAGATTATTCATAAGAACATAACCTTTTATGCCTAAGGAACATTATCACGATAAAATAATAATTATCTTATTAGCATTTTTTCAAACATGATTGTTATAAACAAATAAATTATATTATTAACAGACCTAGTTAGTGTGATTACTGGAACTATCACAAAAAGTCAAATAACTTTTGATTATAAACCATTATTGTATCTCTCAAAATAAACTAATTAACAATAAAATTTATCATAAAAATATTATTAAAGATGATGAATAAAATCACTACAGATACCCAGCAGAGCATGTCAAGTAACCTAACAAAAACCCCACATCATATCTCTCCTTAATTCCGAGATATAATTAAAAATTATGGAAATCCATAAAACACAGAAATTTTAAACAACCTAAAATAATGCCTTTAATTATCTGAACACAACAAAAGAAACCCCATTTTTTTATCTCTTACCGTTCTCGAGTTATAAATTATTAAAGTTTCACATCCGCCATTTTGAATTTCCTACCCTTTAGACTTACAAAGACCAAATCACTTTTACATTAATATTTTAGTCTTTTATACATTTTAAAGCTGAAAAATTACATTTCTGAAGGAAAATTTTGACACTTAATTATTATGATAAAAATGGAATCTCTCATACTCCTAAACACCAGTAACGTTAACGCTGATTTTCTATTTAAATTAATTAAATTAATAAACGAGATTGAAAATTGAACATTCACTCCATGAAAGACGAGGATAGTTTAATACCAGTTCACAAGGTGTAAGACAAGGATAGCCGTAATAAATTCTTAATAAATTAAAATAAAATTAGAAAATGAATAGTTTGAGATGAAAACATTATATACGTGTATACAGAATAATCATTAGAATCGTTTGATAGAAAAACATTTACTACATAATCATTTATTTTCGCAACTTACTTTTATAAACAATCATAAACAAATTATTGACCATGTCAATAAATATTTTTAACTTATACCTCAGATCACGTATAACAATTTTTATATAAGTCAAAACCTTGTCACTTTTCTAATAAAAGCGCTATAAAATTCCAAGTGAAAAGACACCCGGTATAAAGCAAATGACCTTAAATAATACGTCTGACATACGTATATTAATATGTTAAACGTATTGACTCGGGACATTGAATTTAAACTTTAATATTTTCCCAAAACATAATGGCAAAAAATATTTTATATAAATATATATATAGTCTGAACCCTTCTCTTAAAAATCATCCATAATACAATATTTTTATTAACTTCCTATACCTAATTAATCGTAAAAATACATACCTCTGTTTGTGCGACAGCACTTTAGTAACAAAAACTCATTCTGGTAAATACAAATTTCAACCCTATACATAAACTCTGCATCAGTACACCTACAAAAAATGATAATAACTTTTATTTCTGCAATTGTTTATTTACGAAATATTTATAACAATAAAATAACGAATGTTCATAAACGAGATAATAT